GTGGGTGTGTGTGTGTGTGGGTGTGGTGAATGTAGTAATGTTAATTTGAATGTCAATTTTATGTCCAAATTAAAGCTACAAAAGATCAATCAGTAAATTAGATATAAAGTTAACTCTAAAGACTCGTACAAAATCATTAAACATAGAGGAAGCCTGTAAGCCTGACTGAATCAAAATTAGATTAAAAAAAAAACAAAAAAAAAATATTATAGAAGCAGTCATTATAGTTCATTCTTTTTTATTCTTTCTTAAATGAGACAGGTTTGTAAAATATTATAAAATAGTTATCAAAAGTAAGAAAAAACAAACATGCCATAATCTCTCACAATTTTATATGGTTTAAGAAAGTTTTCTTAATATTTTCATTTATACTCTCCTCAAAAAAATTGTAAAATTAAATGTATTGTTGAGAAATTAGTTCGACACAAATCCAGAAGAACACAAAGATTTAACGACGTTCGGCAAAGATGCCTACGTTCTCGGGAGCAGAGTGACGTCTTTTCCACTAATTTAGAAAAAAAAAGTACAGAATACAGAATTAGCATAACACATAGGGTTACATACATGCCTATTTATAATCATAGACAGAACAGTAAATGAAACATTGGGTACAATATGTAATTACCAAATTACCCATGTACCACACCCTCAATCACATAAGGAAACTCTCCTGATTTACAGAATCTTCCGCTTTGCTCTGCTCCGCTCCAGCATCTGTTCCTCTATGATATATGAGCCATATTGTATCAACTTTTAAGTTAACATTGCTAAGAATCTTTAAAGTTTAATCGCTCTACGTTCAACGTCCAAACTTAAATTAAATAAAAGAGAAAAAACTGTATGCAAGCAAATTGAACCTTAATTCACTTCAATGTCATATATTAAATAATTTGTAGGACTCTGTTAACATAAAACAAAAAATTAAAAATTATTACCTACATTTTAAATTCAAACTCTACCAACATTAAATTTATACATTAAACACAAAGATTTTATTTCATTTAAGATGCGTGAATTATACATTATTAAATTCTGCTTCATCAATGAAAATAAAAAAAAGAATTCATTATTGGAAAACCTACACAACGTCTAACGGTACAATATTGTTGAAAAAATATTATATCAGAACTCCGCACGTAAAGTTACATGCAGAGTTCAATGAAATTATGTCGTGGAGATGATCAACCCGGTAACACAAGGAATATTCCCCTCGTGTTATTCAGGTGTTAGTGTGTGTTATTCAGGTGTTATTGTATTCTGAAAATATTCTCGGGTGTTATAATAAAATAACACAATAACACATCAATAATACTTGAATAAAACACAATAACACCTGAATAACACACAATAACACCTGAATAACAAGAGGAGAATATTCCCTAGTGTTACCGGGCCGAGCACCTCCATGGCGTAATTTCATTGGACTCCGCAAGTCACTCTACGTGCGGAGTCATAAGGCAATTAGATAAACAAAAGCGGGACATATATTGTAATAATTAGCTTCGATAAAATTCTAGCTTATAGGAAAGCATGCTTTAATATGTAAAATATTCTAATTAAAATTTGATTGTAATAAATTTCGAAAATTGTAAGGTTCGATTTACCTTGAATATAATTTGTAAATAATTAATACATATGCATATCCAATTAACATCTGAGGTTTTTTGATTTGGGAATAGACTTGGATAAATCTGCTATAGATTATACTTCTATATGTGTATTAGTACTGTTCTTATGAATAATAATAATATGTTATCAAGTATAATTTTAATGTCTCCATCATTTTATATTCAGAAGTTTGTCTTCATAACACTTCTAAGGCAAAAGGAGGGAACAAACTAACCCAAAAGGGAGCTCCAGAGGAGATGATTAAGCCATGGAATTTATTTTGAAAAGAAGCAGAAGTGACATAACAAGCTTACTAGTGCACTGATGGACAACTTAATACTCATTTGTATAAGACTTGTTTATGTTAATTTGTTTACATTGTTGATCTGCCTTGAAGAAATCATTTAAAGCTCCCCATATAAATGAGCAAGATTAAGTCTTACTATATTTATAATAACAATTTAAATTTCTTAGAGGAATTCGATGCTATGTATTACATCATTAAGGGGTTTAGGTTGAATATTAATACAAACTACAAAAATCATAGGTTGTGACACAAGAAAAGAAAAAATTAATTAAGAAATTATTTAACTCTCAAGA